TTGGCTTCGGGAGAATTCACAGTACGTCGCCAAGAGCAGTGATTAGTCATTTTAGTAAAGGTCTTCTTTTTTTTACCCCCACTCCATTTTATTGTTACGACATGAAAATGTTTGATTATTTGATTGAAGTTCTTTAGCGGTCTCCTGCGCATTTTAGTTCACAAATTTCATCTCAGACAAGCGTAAATACCGTGACTAAACAACATCCATTAACAGTTCTCCGGTGACTCTTCCACCCCGCAGTTTGCTGCCTGTCTTCAGACTCGGTACACCAGCTGTGGGATGTAACTGCAGCAGGCACCAACAAAACAGCCTCGGAGGTGTCCTTCGTGTCTTTGGCCGAGAGCCCCGTGGACTGAGGCGGGGTACGGGTGACCACCAAGCAGGCTACTTCTAAGTCCCCGTCTGTGGAGCAATTAGGGTGGTTGTGTGTCCGTGGGCTCCAGCTGTCAGGAGACCTCTGTCTCCTTGTCTTGACACGTCTCCAATACACCCCACTGCGAGTCTCTCAGTGTCACAAACTCCACAGGCCCAACCAGAGCCCAAGGCGAGCTGTCCGTCACCTCACACACGCTCGCCCGCACATTCCCTCTCCGACATGCACTTCACGTGCCGCGTTTTCATTGATACGGTCCTTCTGGCGTCGTAGTTGGAACGCCTCGGTCTCAGAGGGTTGGCCTGTATGTGTCTGCGGTGGCGGTAAACACGGCGGTGGCTGCGGGCCACGCCAACTCATCCGAGCTTCCCCTTATCGTTTTAATCACCTCGTTAGGCGCAGCTAGGCTCCACGCTCACTGGCCACTGCTCCTCCTCTGGAACCATGCACTCCTGACCCGACGCTGGTGGTGCCACCGGGCACAGGGAGGCAAGACGGGAGGAGAGGAGCATAATCTACTGACATGTGAGACATACACAACCTCATTGGAAAATGTTGGATGTGCAATAATGAAACCTTGTTAAGCCATTACGTACTAAAACATAGAAAACATTATAAATCTACATTAACAAGAGGAAGCAATATTTTAAACTAGGGCTAGCTTAATGCTATTACGCAAAGGACTCCTAAAATGATAACTGATCTTTGGATGTAGGGTCCTGTACAAGAATAAACTATATCTTACCTGTTGTATCCTGAAATGGAGTTGAAAACATTTGTGCAATCCTTCTTTTCCAAATAAACGCAAACTTGATAATATATCGCATTACCATAACTTTCGGACTATAAGGCGCACCGGATTATAAGGTGCAGTATCAATGAACGGATCCGTTTTCATACATATGGCGCATTAAACGAAACAAAAGCGATAAGTCAAACTTTATTCAACTCATTCACAATAACTCTCAACAATGTTCAATTATAAAACACATAAAATACAAAACAATACACATTTTTGAGCACCGTGTACAACATAACATCGGTTTGAGGTCAGTAAGCACAACAAGAATTAATACATAAGGCGCACCGGATTTCGATTTTTGAGAAAAAAGGAATTTAAGTGCGCCTTATAGTCCGAAAAATACGGTACTAAACAATATATTGTATTATAGTGATTGTTTTGCACTGTGGCGGCTGTGGCTGAGTGGTTAGAGCAGTTGTCCTCCAATGCAAGAGTTAGGGGTTCGAATCCACCAGCAGTCACATGCCGACGTGTCCCTGGGCAAGACACTGAACCCCTCGTTGCCTCCGATGTGTGTCCCATCAGTGAATGAACGTGATAAAGCTCTGATTAGTCTCTTTAGAATGATTTGTTCAGTTAGCTTTGTAGAGATCTAGTAGAGTGCTGTATGAATGGGTACATGAGGCACAGATTGTAGTATTAAGTGCTTTGAGTATCTCCAGAACATAGAAAGGTGCTATACAAGTACAGTCCATTTACCACTGTTTTTCCAAGATGTAAATATCAGCACTCTTTTATTTACTAATTAATATTTCACGCCACATTTCAACTCCATCTATTTCAAATTTACGTCTCTTTGGTTGTTGAGAAGTTTTAAACAACGGTTCCATTTTATCACAGACAGTACATAGTTATGTTTTACTCAAAGGCGTAATTATCCCCACCTGTACCGATGCAATTTTAGCTCATTTAAAAAGATTGGAGTATTTTACATCCGGTTTTAAACTAGCTAAAATATGAAAATATTAAAAAAGTGATCATTCTAAACTTTTAAAGTAGGGTATGGTGAATAGGTTATGAATGTTTAATATCTTACCTGTGGTAGATAACTCTTTGAATTACCTCAATTTGAAGGAATAGTTCATTTCTGTTTGTGATGGATGAACTAATGGCACGAGATCAAGACCGAAGTGGATTGTTTACGTCTTATTGAGGTTATTTTATAAACTTTCACATTGCCGTAATTTATTTACTTTTTTTTTTTTTAACTCGGGCTCAACTAGCTTTAGCATGTCTGGTGCAGTCTGGGACATTTTCGGTTTAAATCTTTCAATATTTTTGTTACGTGATGTAAAATTTGTAGCGTTGCAAGGGCGAGGTACGTCAGTAGCAATTTTGCTAGCGCGTTTGTATTGCGCCCCGTGCGTCCATAAACCACTTTCCACAGAACCCATGAACACAAGCTGCAGAATAAAATCGGTGAAAATATTGATTTTACGTAGAAATTAGCCCATAGGGACACATCTAGCGATCCCAGTAACTAAAATGGCCGACAGTCAGCCTAATCTACATCCAAATCAAAGTTTCTTCTGAATAATTATGTTTAAATTCTTTTGAAACCGACCATTCCACTCTGTCGCAGTGCCAGGAAATCCCTACATATAATGTTTGGCGTCAATGAATCCCCGTTTTTAAATACACGGCTAGAATTTCTGATTGAAGTTTTCAAACTGGCAGGCTCATGAACAAAACCAGTTGTTGAAATAATAAATCAATTTTTAAACATTCCTCATTAAGAATGTTTGTGAAGTATTCACACTATTTTTATCCATTTTTCTTCCATACATTTTCCGGCGTGATTCTCGTCCCGCAGTTTTCAAACTATTTCAACAAATCACATGAAAACGTTCAGCTTGTTCAGCAGAATTCTGCTATGACTTTTGGTATTTGTGCAACTTTCGCTTTTTGAAATATTTAGCCTTTTCTGCCACTTTTTTCTCAAAAAAATGAGCAACTTCTTTCGGGTAATTTCAGCTTGTTATGCTCCTTTAAGCAAGTTTCAGCTTCTCTACCATTTCAACTACTATTTAGTTGTTTTTAATACTAATTTAAGCTTTTTCAGCTAATACCACATTTTGTACTCATTTAAACTTTTTTCAGCCTAATTCAGCAAAAACGTGCTCTCTACTTCTGTCTTGTTATTTCTGCTTTTTTTTGGGGGTACTTTTCAGCAGTTTTTTTGTTTTTGTTGTTGCTAATTTCTTTTTTTTCCAGAAAATGTTGTGCCTAATAGGGCAAAAGTGTTCTTTCAGCTTTGTTATCCTCATTTAAGCTTTTTCTACCTTCACAGCATTTTTCAGCTAATTTCAGCGGTTTTTAGATAAATTCCAAGTTTTTCGTAGAAATTTCTGCTACTTTCAGGCTATTAACTTCTTTATGCTCGTTTCAGTTTGTTAAGCTCATTTCAGCCTTTTTCTGCTACTTCAGCTAATTTCAGCTGTTTTGTGCTCCTTTCATATTCTTTCTACAAACTAAAACATTTTTGTTCGTCTTCTAACTTCGTTCTGCTAATTTCAGCTCGTTATGCTCCTTTCAGCTGTTTTCAGCAAGTTTCAGCGTTTTCCATTGTTTCAGTTACTCTTTAGATGTTTTTAATACTAATTTAAGCTTTTTCAGCTAATTCCACATTTTGTACTCAAACTTTTTTCAGTCTAATTGAGCAACAATGTGCTTTCTCTACTTCCTTCTTGTAATTTCAGCTTCTTTCTACTTTTTTAGCTACTTTCTAGCAGTTTGCTTTTTTTGTCAATTTAAAAAAATTCTCAGAAAATTTCCTATTTTTGTGCTTATTTCAGCTTTCCAGCCCAATTGGGCAAAAATGTTCGTTCAGCTTTTTTATGCTAATTTAAGCTTTTTCTACCTTTTCAGAATTTTTAAGCCAATTTCAACTGCTTTCAGATAAATTCAAGTTTTTCATAGTAATTTCTGCTACTTTCAGGCTACTACCTTCTTTATGCTCATTTCAGCTTGTTATGCTCGTTTCAACCTTTTTCTGCTAGTTTCTACTATTTCAGCTACTATTTAGCCGTTTTATGCTAATTTTAACTTTTTCAACTAATTCCACCTTTTTTGAACTCATTTCAACTCTTTATGCTTCATTCTGGTAGTTTAAGCTTCTGCCTTTTCAGCTTTTTTTGTGCCAATTTCAGCTTCTTTTTAGCCAATTCCCTAATTTTGTGCTAATTTTTGCCTATTTAAACCCATTTCAGCAAATATGTGTTCTTTCTGTTTTCTTCTACTAATTTAGGCTAGGTCTTCCATTTCAGCTATACATTTCAGCATGTTTTAGCTAATTTCAGCTATTTTTCAGCAAGTTCTTCTGCATTAATTCGCACTGCATTTTCACAGGAAATTAAATTTCTCCAGCTTTTGTCTTGGCGTTTCAAAACTCCAAAGTGATTGGAACTCTTCATCCGTCTCTATGAGGATGCATGAAACCAATTAAGTGTCAGATTTGAGTTCAAAACGTCTTCCTGTTCGTGGTCCTCCCACCCAACATGCCCCCCATGACCCCAAAACTGTTACTTCTTTTAATCACTATTTTTCTTGCTGAAAATGCACAAACTCACGTGTTTTTTCTTTCTTTCTTTCAACCCTTTAACGTGCACACATCTCTGCCCACTTCTCCCACGGGAGGCAAGAGCGCTCGAGGGCTGGGGGGGGGGGGGGGGGTACGGGGGGAGGGGGGGATGGAGGAGAGGAGGGGGCGGCGTTAGACAATGCCCAATCCTCAAATATATTCCGTCCCCTCCATCCATGAAGTGAGCCTTTATTAGTGGGGATCGTTTGGATCTTATCTCACACATGATGCTCGGTGGAAGAGGAGGGATAGAAAAGATACGGTGAAGGAGGGAGGGGGGGGATTTATCTGCGATCTGCCCGACGAGGAAGAGCCTCATCTCCATCCTCTTCATCCACAGGCGGACGGACGAGTCGCCCCGCTGCACTTTCACTTCGGTATCGGCTCATCTCACCTATTGTTTGTGGCGCGCGGGATCACACGGACCGATCCCGTCGTATCACCTCCTCTTCATCCAAACCTCCTGAGCTGACCTCCTCCAGAACGGTTCCCATCAAGATTTCTCTGCACGACTCTCCCCCCCGCTGCATCCACCCCTGCTTCAGTGATGCTGCAAGTTTGCAGCTGGAAAAAGTCAAACTAGTTTTGCTTTTTTGTCATCCTTGAATGCTCGCCACTTTATTTAGTTATTTATTTTTTACATCTGATGCTCGTCTGGCTCCTGGAATATGAGTTGAACGGAGCTTCAACTCCAAACTGAGCGCCTTTTTTTTTTTTTTTTTTTTAACTTAAAAACAAATTTTCTCAAGTCTTTAACAAGGTAAGGGTCACAAATTCTGGAGAAACGTCCCCAAAAAATAAAAACGTCTTTTTTTTTTTTTTTCCTATTATGAATTCAATTTTAACAATTCTTTTTTTGATAAAATGATTTCATGCAGCAGATGTCAAACTTTATCTTTTTTTTTTTTTTTTTGCGTCGCGTCGCAGTGGCCTCAGCGAAGCAGATGTGTTCTTCACATGTGACAGATGGCCAATTCTGATTATGTTAATTCACATAAAAAAAAGCAGAATTCTTCCTTTAAAATCATCACAAGTTCAATTCTAGTTAGAAAAAAGAAACAAAATTTACAGTTTGGAGGTCACAAATTTGGGGTTTTACTTTTAAATATTTCGCTTTTCACATTGAAAATGCTTATATTATTAGAAAAGTATTAAACAAATTGTATGAGTGAATGTGTAAGGGGCCTAAATGTGGCCCCAGGGGTTTCTCACTTTTTAAATTAATGATGATTCTTGGATAACTTGTGTAAAAATAATAACTTTATCTTTACATTTTGTGTTGTTTTTATTTTATTTTTTTTAATATATGTAATTACCTGAAGGAGAGCGACCACCTGAGTGAAGAAAGATGATGCTGAGCCCGGATCAGGCGGAGGCCGACCTCTCCTGGACGCAGTCCGACCCGGAGACGCTGCTGAACGGTCTCAAGTCGGTGGGCTGCGCGTCGGACGAGCCGGCGGAGGCGGAGGAGCGGCCCAAGTGCAGGGCCGAGCAGCCGCTGAGCCGCGAGGAGAAGCGGCGGCGGCGGCGGGCCACGGCCAAGTACCGCTCGGCCCACGCCACCAGGGAGCGGATCCGGGTGGAGGCGTTCAACGTGGCCTTCGCGGAGCTCCGGAAGCTGCTCCCCACCTTGCCCCCCGACAAGAAACTCTCCAAGATAGAGATCCTCAGACTGGCTATTTGCTACATCTCCTACCTGAACCACGTGTTGGACGTCTGAAGGGCCGGAGCGCGTGCCGGAAGCTGGACCGAGGGCGCCATTTTGTAGAGGGGGGGGAAACGGTTGGCAGCAGTTAGCATCGAGGGCGAAACTGGTGTTAAAGCGCAGTATTTTTAAATATTTTGCAGCTGAGATTTATTACACTTTTAAGTTGGCCAAATTAAAAAATATATATATTAAATTATGTGAGGTTTTACATTAAATACGTAAACGAAAAGTCAACTTTTTGTTCAAGCGCTGAAAAGTTCGGAAGCTCCGAGATGACTTGCTTAGAAATTTATTTTCTCGCGTTAAAAACTTTGTCTTGGTTTTTTTTTTTTTTTTTTAGAGATAACGTGTTAATTTATTTTACTTGCACTTAGAAAATCTAGTTTTAAGGCAGTAAATTATTTTGTTGCCTCATAGCAATATTGGAAATGTATGGCAGTATCGGGTGAGGCCGCTCCCGCATTATTATTTTTTCTACACATACTTTATTTACATTGGCAAAATAAAGATTTGAAAAAAACAAAATAGGGAATTCTACTGTCCACACAGCAATTCAGATTAAGTAAAATCTTAAAATCACTGACATGTATGGAAGCCTAGAGAGGCCATGCTTAGAAACATTTTCATGAAATTATCTCTAGTTACAGCCTAATCTTGGTTTTGTTTGGATACATTTATATTTATTTAAGTCAACTTTTTTCTTGCAGTCACAACTAAGCAAAAGGAGTACTTATTCAGGGATTAAAACAATCATACTAAGATCTCATTAATTTTATAAAGCAACCAGCTGGTTTCCCTTAAGATAAAACAAACTTGTGATCTCTAAAACAATGTTGCGTCCAAATTAATAAAAGCAGGTAGATGTCCTCTGCTTCTGTACAACCCCCCACCAAAAAAATAAAATAAACAAGTTTTGTTTAATCAGAATGCGTTATCTGATAAATTAAGCAGATCTAATCTTCCCTCCTGCTTTAAAAATATAATAATAATAAATTTAATGACTAAAAGCATTGAAATAAAGCCCTTTGCCTTTGCCACACCTTACGGTTGTCCCTACTGTGGGCCCAGAGTTGGTGGTTTCGGTGAAAAGTTGTGGGAAAGCGGTCCGAATCAAAGCCTTTGAGTAAATGAGCAAGGCACCGAGCGCCGAGTGGTTGCAGCTGTTGGATGCAATAGTAATGATAGTTAAAAAAAATACCCGATGTACAGTGAGGAGGGGGAGGGTGTGCTGAGGGAACCCCCGAGGCGCTCATCGTTCGGAGAAAAAAAAATTAGACTTTCAAACAGATTTGAATTTTCACACTCAGCCAAGACCGTAAATAATATTAGTTTAATGCCGTTTGATTTAATAAAAATGCAGACTCCCCCTCCCCCGCAACTCTGTCGGGTTGGTGTTTAACAAAAAATAAAAATAAATAAAAGGATGGAAAGGAGGTAGCTGCTTTAGACCTATAGTTAGATGTTTTCCGTGAAGGAAAGGAAGAAAAAAAAAAGACTCAAGTGCCACTTATGACAAGAAATTGTGACCTTAATCATTTTAAAAGTGTATTTATTTATTTATTTATTTGTTTGTTGATTTGTGTTAATCCTACTGGTAATTAATTTATAGGCTGGCGTCCTGTTGTATAAATGTATATTGTTTGTTGCTTCTATATTTTAGACTGTGAAACTGAAATGTGATGGTGTTTCTTTTAAAAAAAACAAAACAACAAAAAAAAAAACAAGGCACTTTCTGTTAATTCGCTGCGTTTGTTTTTATGTATGTTCCACGTCTTTCTTTGTTTCGCTTCGATAATGTCGACCCTTGTAGCAACGACGAGCACTTCGAGGCATCACGTGGGCCCCAGCTGACCGTCCGCTTCCGTAAAAAGTGTCGGAAGTTTAGAAGTTTCAAAAACTGCCGGGGTGCCGCAGAACGTTCTGTTTTCCGGTTAGTTCTTACAACCGAGGGGTTCTAGTGTGATAGAGACGCCTCGTCTTTTGCTGTGACCAAAAACAACGTGCTAACAATGTTAGGCTATGATTTTAGATTAAATCTGTTATTTGTTTGTCTCTTCTTTGTATTCCGGAAATTCCAATAAGTGATTTTATAGAGGGGGTGGGGAAAAAACACAACATATCTTCTATCCAAAGATTTTTTTGTCTCTTCAGGGTTGTGTAGGCTACTTGTTGCTTTATGCAGATTTTTAGTAGAACTATCGTGTGACAGCTGGTTTCTAATGGACAGACTTTTTCATATTTTCCGGTGTTATTTTTAATTAAAAAAGAAATACCTAATAAAGACTCCCTTTCCTGTTTCAAAACTCTTGTTTATACCAAAATCATATATATATATATATTTTTTTTTAGCATTAGCGGCTAACAACATTACCGGTAATTGCTTACCACTACTATATGGCAAGCCATTTTACTGTATAATATGTAGATGCAAATTTATGAAATTCTTCCTTGTTTAAATTAAAGTTTTAACGATCCAAAATATTTGTTCTCATAACCATTTCAAGCATCTTAATTTTAATTATTCCCTAAACAAAACGTCACTTTTTTTGCTTTTTTAAATCATAAAATTAGATTTCAAATGTACAACCATATTTTTTTAGTGTAATACTAGATAATTTAAAAAATGAATTATTCTAATCTCATATAATAATAAATTACAGATTAGCCGGTAAGAAAGATATTGACTTATTATGACTTTGGACATTTGTTATCAATTTGATAAGAGGCCATTCTCACGTAAAAATGATAAAATTTAAATTATGCCAAGGAACTAAGTATAAATAAGTTTTTTTTAAGAATTTTATTCCAGATATCCACACATTTTAGTTTGGAAGGAAATACTTGTGAATTACCAATACTAAAGATGGAAGTCCATTACACATAAACAAGTTTCTTAATAATATTTTTTTAATTGTACAGTAGGAATAACTTGTTAAGGATATTTACAAGAGATGTTTAAAATGTTAAAGTAGCCTCGTAAACTTTTTAACGGTTTTAAATTGCCTAAACGTTGAATTCCCCAACAGCCTCAGCTGTGGAGACCTTTAACCCTCCTGCCACCCTTGAGTTAAAATGAGCCACGAAGTTTTAAAACTGAGGCTCCATGGCACATTTTCACACCAGGGCTGCAGGAGGGTTAAATAAAACTTTGAGTGTGCATGTGTCTGTTAGCAAAATTTATTGTGAACTACTGGGCGTTCTTTATTGAAACTGATTATGCATCTACAACTGATAGTTCAATTCAAGATGGTCATTTTTGTGATTTTGGAAAACAAAAAAAAAAACAATTAAAGCTGTCACTTTTACAGATACTGAGGTGAAAGCTGATGTGGTAGTAGCTGAGAGTCATCCCTAATACACACGTCAACCACTGGAAGGGATCTTTGGCATGTAAGGCGGTGGGTGATAGGTATTCCTTTAAGGAACGCTAGTTTCATTTTGACTTGAAGGAATGCTTTTACAAAAAAAGTAAATGAGACAGAAGAGTCCTTTGATTATATGTCACAATGGCCTGCCTTATGGGCGCTGATTGGATTGCAGGATGACGTCAGGTTCAAGCTCAGGCCTGTGCACACCAACATTTGTCCTGTTTGCGCCTCACAAACAAACACATGTGTTGAAGGGTGAAATACGTCCCAGTTAAGCTTCGGGATGAAAGCTCACCCCTTCCTCTGTCTACACACTCACATTGCAACGAGTGGGTGCACATCGGAGGAACCCATCCACCGCCTCACACACTCACTGGTCAGCAGCTAAAGGCAGTGGTAGGAGCTACATGTATGCTCCTGGCTGAAAGGCCCCCTCCCTCCCCAGAGAGGGGGCAGGTGTTACTCCAGACTAGCCAAGACAACCAAATTACTGGCCGTCTGGCACCTCCCGTGGGAAACCCAGCGAGAAAAAAGGGATGGGAGAGATGGAAATTTATGAGCAAGCGAGATGTAATATCGCCAAATGCTACGAGCAGAGAAGATCCAAATATTTATATTCATTTCTAATAAATATACGCCTGTATTCTTATCGATTGAGCTATAAAAGGTTGAGTTATGGAGGAGATGTGTGGATGCTTTCATCCAAACCGCATTGGATTATCGGGAGCTTTTTTGTTTGTTTGTTTTTGTGAAGCCCCAGTGGGAATTGAACCCTTAACCATGGAAATGCCACAGTTCAGCTGTTCCAAAACACATTAAAAACATGTAAGATTAAGACACTATCTATCCTGATATCGATCTGTTCTGTGTTTATCTCAGGTGGAGGGAGGTCTCAAATTTATAATTTGGGAGTGACGATGTGAAATCGTAAATGTTGTTTTTCGATTCAACGTCCAGCTGTTCACCACTCATCTGTCCGGTTTTTCTCGTCCTCAATCTTCAGCTTCAGCCATACAAGTTCTGAACATTTTCAGAAGGTCAAAGCCCAAATAGAATAAAGGTAAAATCGTTTGAAAGACGGAAAACCTTTTACGATTCTTGGTTCTTTGTGTTTTTGGTTAGTCTTGTGGATTTAGTTTAGTTTTTTTCATGTTGCTATGCTTTCGTTTCCTTTTCTTTATCTTATAAGTTTGTTTCTGTTTCCATTGGTTCTCCATACTTTTCCTCAGCTTCTGCTCCAGTGTCCTGCCATGCCCACCTACACCTGTTCCCTGTTGCCATTATGCCTCCTGTCTCCCATGGTCAGTTGTTGCCAGGTATACAATAATTGTTGTATTTATACAATAATTTTAAGCTCTGAATGGTATAAATAGGCTTTAAACAACCCGAATATACTGTGATTTTGGCATCACTGTGCACTGGAAAAAAAAAAAAAAGCCTGCAAAACTCCACATCATCAACAAGTCTGCATACTTTCCAAATATATGACCCCCCTCCTGAACTCATGTATCTTTGCCAACATTCCCGACACATACCCCCACCACCACCACTCAAAAAACTGTACCCTAACTTCACACATACAATAGTTTTAGTCGAAATACAGTACAAATTTTAAAGCAACAAGTCAGTAGTTAGTTGTTTCCTGTCTGGCAGCTCAGCTCTAGTCTATTGAGTCTTCAGCTCACCTGCAGTTAGTCATTGTGGCTTCCACACCCAGTGTGGAGCAGCTTTGGATGTTATCAGTCCATTAAATGGCCGTTATTAGTTCTTATCATCCCTATATGTAGCGGTCAAACTGTCCCACCTACCTCCTAGTAGGTTTAAAGGTACATTATTATCATTATTATTGCTGATAATAGGCAGCGTCACACAGGGGTAAACCA